GATGGGTATTAAAGAGGGCATGTTCTGCGTGGAGTACTGGGTGTTATGCACAAACAATGAATCATGGAACACTACATCAAAAACTAATGATGTGATGTATGGTGATTAACATAACAATAAAAAAGTGCCTCATACTAATGGGCTACTTCAAAATGCAAGTACTTTCTGTGCTGGGGAAAAGTAAACATATTAAAATAAATATCTCAGTATGTTTTAGCAATGAAATGTGAAAAAAAAGGAAATCCCTTGTGTCTTTAGAAATGGTCTTAAAAGGAGGATTAACAACAATTCTGCCTTGAGCATTCAGCTAAGTGTTAGCAATAAAATAGAAACTTGTTAAACAACAGTAAATCCAATGAGTTAAGTAATCAATATGTAAAAATCTTTATCCAGGGCCAGAAGCCAAAGATATTCAACTCTTAAATTGACACAGCAAAAAGTACTTGAGTACAAAGGCAAATAAAGGAGGGTCAAGAAGATAAAAAAGGAGAAAACCATTCTTGTTACGTCCTGGCTATCCCAGAGGTTTTGAAAAACGGAGTAAAGTGAAATAAAAATAAATTCTTAGTTTGGAGAGAATCATTCTTGCTATCTTGGCATGGATATTATAATTTCTTCATGATAAATATGAAGAAATGAGACAGAAAGTGGTAAGAGCCATGTATCAAAACATAGGCTGACTTGGAAATGTCCTTTACCACTCTATTCCCAGTAGGAAACAAGAGCCAATTGCTACCAGGTATGCAAGTGCAGAATTAAAACCTGTGGTTGCATGTACAATGAAAAATTAATAAGCATCAGAGCTCTGTGAATCAAAGATTGAAAACAGTTTCACAGAAAAAACTGAAGCAAATTGTTTATTAATTAAGTTTCAGTATGCTGGAGAGCTGACTGGCTGATGAAATGGAGAAAATCTGGATAAATAAAAGCACAGACATCTAATGAAATATGTGAAGGGACTCACAGGTGCTTAGTAATCTTATGAAAGGGACACATTGTAAGGATATTGATTAATATCCTTTGGCTCTATTTTGTCCATTAATAGTAACCTCACAGCTCCCTTCTGTTTTTCTTTTGATCATATAAATTAAGCAGTACTCTTTCTTGTTGACTGTCCATCTATTTCTTCAAGGGAGGCTGTGTTCCATTCACCATCTGCACATTTCTCTGAAGGGCAAGACGACTAACCTTGCTAGTCATTGCAATGATTGAAACACCTTGCACTAGGGTGGTTAAGAGCCACTAACTGGGCTCTCTTTTCATACCCATTTCCACTAGCATATCAAACTCCATGAATCCTCCCAGACCATCAGCGCT